ATTTTTATATGGTTCTGAATATAAATCACGTGGTAAATTTCCTGAACCTCGATGTCTTGGTAAACTTCAAAGATTCTGCCACGATTTACTGTATTTATTTTAATTTCTATAATATTTTGGGTAAATAGATGGCGCTCTGTAAAAATATGTATTTTCGCAATGATTATAATAACCTTTTTGACTTCTGTAGCCCTTTGGATCATACATGGGATTCTCGAATCAGATGTGATTCGAAGGAGAGAGTATTAAAGAGTCATCAACTTGACAAGAAGCAGTCTTAAGTTTTATGCATCAAAAGAAAATTTGGTGAGTTAACGGACAAGGAGAGGTTGAATTGCGATTCCAATGACCATTTGATAGTGCATTCAATTTATGACCCAAGGTCTAGGCTCAGAATTAACTTTTGTGTCAGCAATAAACACTGAGGTCTGGGTATACAAAATGGGTATACCAACGGAAGTCCGGTGTCAGGTAGTAACTACGATGAACCGAGGACTTGACGTACCTTATGAGTAGTCACTGAAGACCAGTGATTATGGTGCTGCATCAAAATCTATTTATTGATTATGAAAATTAATGATAAATAAAATGACAAGTCCAATTGTTTCTCCTCCAAGTCTAGTCTACTTGATTTACCCACACACCCATTGTATGAAAATATAAACGATTTTATTAATTACAAAATTTTATGATAAATAAAAATGATAAGTGATTTTTTTTTGCATTGGATGAAAATATAAACGATTTATTAATTACAAAATTTTATGCTAAATAAGAATGATTTTTTTGTTTCTCAATGTCTGGCCTTCTTGATTCCCCACATATGTTTGTGAACTTGTTCAAAAGCATACGACGAAATACGAGGATATAGCTACATATTTACACCTATAATATATTAAAACTTCAATGAAAAGCAGGTAATAACGCATGTTTAATAAAGAATGATCTGGTTTAATAATATGAGAGATTGGATACGGTTTAAAACAATATAATAAATAATGATGTGTATCTCTAAATATATTAAAATGCCTTTATATTTTAAGAAGCATTTTATGAGGAATTATTTCGAAAATAGTAAAGGAATTATGTCGGTTTAAATGTGATATGCTGATAGATTCTCATATAAAATATGTAGGTTTACTCAAACAAAAAATTAAAATGGATTTGACTATGTCAGAATAGTTCCACATGGTACGTTTGTCAGAAAATCAAATAGTACTTATTGGTTGTTTGAAGCTTTGCTCGTAAATGAATATACAAATAGCAGAAACTTGAAAATTTTTTCGTCCACGTTTTAGCCCGCAATTCTGAATTGATTATGAAAATTTGAATATGAAAACCGTTCGAAAGATATTGGTTGGGAATCGTGCTGATTAGTTTTTGGACAAGATCGGCCGGGCCGTTTTCTTGTAATAAGCGATTGTATAGTTTTGCAATCTAACATTTTCATAAAGTCTTCTTAATATGAATATATTGAAGTACATTATATTGATGATTAAATAGTGTTTCAGTTTGAAGTTTTGCTCGTAAATAAATAATTTCTATTATGATTTGCTTTATATAAACTTTAAGCGACTGGATAGTTCAGCAATGTAATATCTTCGTAAAGTCTTTTTAATGCTAGTACATTATTTTCTACTCTATCTTCTAAACTGATCGCTATAAAACAATGTCAAACTGATCTAAAGTATAAATGTATCGAGTATCGAGTGAGAGGCGACGCTCGGCTCTTCGAGCGCGTCCCAATACGATTCAGAAGCAATATCTCACTGCTCCGAGATCATGTTAGTTTTTTTTTTACTTCTTGCTGCTTTCTCTTGCTTTTTTCTTTTTAGCAAGTCGCGTTAGACGTCACGCGGCTGAGTGCTATGTGTCCGTTCGAAAATTCAATCTAGATCCCAGCGGGATGCGACGCCTTAGACCGTCCGAACGCAAGATGATGCTTATAACCACACTGGCCAATATATATTTACACACATTTATGAAAACTATATATATATATATATATATATATATATATATATATATATATATATATACTTAGCTGACCCGATAAACGTTGTTTTGCCATAAAAAATATTTCTAATGCAAAAAGTTTAGCATGAAAATAACTTATTGCAAATGTGGTGCATTAGTGAAAAGAGCATCTAACGCCCCATATAAATGTCACTTAACACTAGATAAACCCGCCATTTGAATATATCTATTTCTACTAGTACCGGTCAAAATGACTGGTCCATTGAGAACATGCTTATTGTGGTTTTAAGTCGAATAAAACTAATTATAGTAGTTAAATAAATATTATCAAATAATAAAAAACTTGATTTTTAATCATTTTTTAAGTTATTTATTTTATTACTGAATGCAACTTTTCGGCACCTCTCTCGTGTTTGCGCGTAAAGTACAGATAACCAAGTATTTCTAGATTTTAAATTTTATTCTAGAGGAATACATGTGAAAAAATATCGGTTATTGCAGTTCTGTCCTTTATGGTATATGATTGGAAAATTTTCATCAAAAAAAATTCGCTTAGAAGGGTTGATGCAATTCGAGTTTTGTCTTTTCCTAACTGCAGGTATCCATCTACCACGTATTTTGTCTATACATCAGACGCCAGCTAGAATTTTAGAATGGAGAATTTAGAATTTAGAATTAGGTCTTGCGAGTCGCAACCTAATCTGAAACTGATTATATGTAAATTGAATTGGTACATTTAAAGTTTCAAAATTTTGATATATTACTACTGCACTTTTCATTAATTCATCAGTTTTTTAATTACATTGTTGTACGGGATGGCCAACGATTTGATCTAAATTGAAAAAATTGAGTGAGTGGAAAATTTTACAGCTTTACTATAATTTTGTATGGTACCTAGTTCGTTATCAAAAACTGTTGTATCTTTATATTTTAACATTTACTTTCTTTATTTTTTAGCCAAAATCCCTCTAAAAAATGAATATGATCGCTCTTTATGCAGACCATTTATAAACTTTGTACTGTTTGTGCGCATCGAGAAAAATTTGTACAATGATGAAATGGGAGGAATGGGCAACCCTTGATAAAAATGAATTGTTTATTTTTAAGTAAAATTCATGTTTTTTTATAAGCTCAGGACAATATGAATTGAGAGTCGATAAAAAAACAATCACTAACTAAAAAGCGTGGTGAAAAATATTCAATTACTAAAATGGCTATTAAAAAATAGAGATTGTCGAAGGAAGGTGAAAACTTCAAGTCGTATGCAATTTTTAATTCCGCATTATGAAAATTAAAATTAAAAAAAAAAATTAACAAAATCTAAAAAATGTTAGGGTTGGACAACCTAAAATAAAAATAGTTTTTCTAAGTAACAAGCGTTTCATGTATTTTTCAACTTCAAATTATAGGAAATTGAAATAAATTGGTCCCAAAATTTAAAAAAAGTGTTAGAGGTTAAAATAATAATCACAGCCGATGTATTACGTATTGTGCTTAGAACTATTCTATTTATCTCGGTTTCAATTATTCCTGTTCAGAAAGAAAATGAATGTATCCATAAAGTGCCGATTCGTTTTATTCGATTCGTTTATTCTCGCAAAAGGACTTTGTAATTATTAGTATATTCATAAACAGTGTTCGCATATTTGTTTTTGTAGATTTATATAAACACACATATGCAAATATTATATGTAGGCGAAACAGCGCCGAATCCCATATTTAATGTTTATTTAAAAGATAAAGAGCACTTCAAGAAATAATGAAATCGATTGTCAAAAAAAACTCTAAGCTAATAATGCGATTTGCGACCAGAGCAAAGTTAGATTCAGTGTAATCTTTGTAAAAATGTGCTTATGACATAGTATTAGCTGTAATCAATAATAATAAATATTAATTCAGGCCCTTGTCAGGCTTATTCACAATTAATAATTATTTTTTTCTTTTGTTAAGCAAGACATTCTCTATTCTTGCTAAGCAAGGCATCTTCCTTTCTAGTTAAGCATAACATTTTCTTTTCGTGTAGAAGGGTACGATCGTTTTTGTTTAATATAAAATTTTCTTTTTCTCGTAAAGCATGACAATTTCTTTTCTTGATAAGCTAAACAATTTAGTTTCTCTTTGACCTATATTCAGTTGAACAGAAAAATGTATATTATTTGAAAACGATACATATTATTTTTACATAAATCGATAATTTGTTATTCAGCTGGTGATTAGTAATAATAAGTGTTCTGTTAAGGCGCTAATTACACCATACTTATGTCCCCGCTGTTTGAATGCCATTACATTTACTACACTTTATAAACACTTATCTTATTCCTAATTTACACATTCTAAACATCGATCGACATGTAAGAATTAAATTTATCTATTAAAAAGGTTTAGTAACTTGTGCGCTAGGTTTAAACATGTTCCTAGTATCGCGACTTAAAATGTTCTATCTTTAATTAATATTTGAGTAACTTTTACGCGCTAAGCTCAACATATGCCTAGTATCGCGACTAACTGAATACTAAGTAATAAGTTTAAATATACAATATAAAAATTATTACAAACTCTGTCTGAAAGGTAGGGCAGATTACAAATATACACTGATAAAACTACAAAATTTAGAAAATTTAGAAAATTTCTATTATCCGTTTAATACGGGTGGGAGCAATAAACCTTGTCCATTTCTTTGGAAGAATCCTTTCTGTATCCTTTGTATTGAAAGGAATTTATAATAATAATAGAAATGCAACACACAAATTCACTTAGGCTATTGTATATTGTATTGCATAAAGTAAGTAATATAGTACTTATAAAAATATTTAAAACGAATTTTTTACAAAAAAAAAAATGATAATGAAAATAGTTCAAAGGAATCGTTAACATGCTCGTTAAGCGAGGTTTCATTATAACACAACACCTACAGATGTGTAGAATGAGCACGTGACGATGTTGGTCCAACAACATCGAGCTATAGATTATGGACCTTTATCCATTCGAGTATAGTAGGACAACCCGTATCGTAATATACTTACTGAGGCGCGACAATTTGAATGCGTCAGCTGTATTGATGACGTTCACATACGCTTGTAGTTCGAATCTGCGCGACGATATGTTCTGGTTATGGATCTGCATTGCATATTTGAATGCCGTTTGAACTTCGTCAGTTCCTTGTTCAAATATTGCACCTGGAAATAGATTTCGATATGAAAGCAGTTATACTTGAACACAAATCTTACTAAAATTTATATATAAAGTACATGCATTGGTTAAATTTTTGCATATACATACACATATACATATACATATACTTTTACATATAATTATGCATTATATTACTTATGCAACTAAATTATTTCTTTGTAGTTTTGTTCATTTATAAGGTGTTAATTTCTTCTCTTTCTTTGGCGAGCCTAGCTCGTAATGAAAATTTTGGCCTAAAAATGAATATGATCGCGATCCAAGCTCTCGAATAGGTTCTGGGACCAAATATAAATATGACGAGATGTGAATTTAAAATATGTAGGAAAGAATAGGTACGGTTGTGCCAGGTTACGATAGTGGCAGCCATCATAACGACTGAACTATACTGATTTTGAAATAGGGTCCAAAGGGAAAAAGATTAAGTATGTTTGTTCAGCGCCCTGCATTAACATAATCTGTAAACCGAATTGCTTTTGAAGACCAAAATTAAGTTTTTTGTTCAATTTCTATGAATAATTTATTACTGTTACTTGTATACATACAAATCACTTTGTTTGTTATTTTGTGGCACTTTGCCCTAAGCAAGTTGCATGAACTTTCCGACAAGTGTAAACCGTCGATTTAATCAATAAGAAATCAATATTATAATTTATACGTACAATAATTTATATATATATATATATATATATATATATATATACCTACAATTGTATTATTAGCACAATTTTGTACTAATTTGGACCAAGCATATTAGTTAATTCATGCAAATGGTTTATTTTTTATACATTATTATTATTATGAGCTTTTGAGAATACGTCAACAAACATTAAACTTCTTTCAATTTTTGTACTAAATGATTCAAAATGACTCCAAATATTGGTAATAAAAATAAATTAAATATAAAAATAACATACACTTTCCTTCTCATAAATATTTATTTTCGTAATTCCAAGCACAATATTTATGCGTTATTATATTGAATTACTTTTATTAGAAACAAATAGATATAAGTTGCTCTAATGAAGTTAATTAAATATAATATATTATAGTATAATATAATATAAAACTCTAGTTTTTTGAGAAATGAGTTTTTTTATGTTAATATAATTTTTATGGTTTTTATAAATATTTTAAATACTACAGACTCACAGTTTCCGTTTTGTATGAAGAAATCATTAGTAATTTTTTTTAAATTTCATATTTGGAAAAAATATAAAATTAAATTAAAACTTGTATACTTGGAAAAAATATAAAATTAAATTAAATCTTTGATATTTTGAATTATAATAAATAAAGTAATTAATTTTATACTTTAAGTATCATAATTCTTGTCAACTACGTACGCATTTGCATGCAAATTAGGTTTACTCTTCTTCGTGAAGTTAAGTAAGTTCGTGAAGATTTGTTTGCATACAGATTTATATCAAAATCATAAACGTGGTTGCTCATATTTAAGGTCAATAAATTAAATCATGAATTTATCAAAATTATTAATTAGAAAACAAATTTTCAGACATATAATTCAGTTAATTGGTACTATTTTGTAACCAAAGTATATATCGAAAAACAAAACCTTAGCTCAATATATCGAATTATTTATGGCATACTGAAAATATATTTTACTATTAATTATATGATTAATAAATTAAATACTATAAACCAATTTCAACATGAACGAATGGACTGAAAGATAAAAATTATCCCATACAGGACCAAAGAATAATTAATATATGACGATTTATATGCAGATATGACAATTAGTTATAAATTATAAAACTTTTCACTAATAGTCTCAAGTAAATTTTCGGTTGAGTATAATTTCGCATGCGCATAATTATCATTGCTCTTAACGTTTTATTTGAATATTCATATCATGAGTGTTAATGTTTATCCATCCAACATGTTAATCCATCACAACTTTTTTTTAAATTAAGTTCAACCTATAATTTATATGATTTTAATGTGTAATAAAAAAGAGTGCGCGTAAGGTTCACACGCGATTGAAGTAAAACTTATTTGCTACTGTACAAGATGGCATTTAAGTAAAAATAAATACATCATATAACAATTTTGAATAATGTTTATTAGTAATGTGGTAACACTCATGATGCACATATTTATTAGTGTCAACCATTATACACATTTATAAAATGATAAATTATAAATTATATATTCATAATAGCATTAAAAATATGTATAATATTTAAAAACAATAATATAATTAAAGTCATACTTCAAATATGGCATGATCGGTTTGTCATTGTAATTAGCATTTAGAAATAAACCTTCATTAAAGAAATAAAGTAATTGCTGATTAATAACTTCTTTATTATTCGTTCACACAGTGGATTATGTTAAACAACGTCTAAAGAAATATTGTTTTCGCAACTTCACTCATCAAGTAATAATTGTGTTTGAAGAACTTAATGTAATTAAAATTAACACACATTCATTGACTAATGATATTTTTTTTTCTTTTTCGCTGGCGATATAATCTCATTCTTTGAACAGCTGTAATATCTGTTTTCAAGTTCAAAGACTTATAGAAACTACGAATAATATAGAAATTATTTCAATAAACTTATGTTTCATACACGGCGCAAATGCTGCATTCGTTTTATTATTTTCATTATGATTATTTACGGAGGACAGAGTAATATTCTTTTGATTCGGACATTTTTTATTAAATCAAGATTTGTACTACGATGTAATTGTAAAACGTTTATTTATCTATGCCGATTTCCTTGTTGATATTGGTACGCATACAACGTTGATGCCAGTACGCATACAACGACAGATCTCTATTTATATACGCGACGACTAATCACAATCGACCCGTATAGAAATGATAGCATCGAGAGCGAATGACGAATTATTGCCACTCTTATCTTATCTTATCTTATCTCATTTGCCGTAACGCACTTCCGTTGCATTTGTACGGATTTACACCCTAATCGCGCCTAAATAAGTTTTTCTACAAAAATATAAGTGCACATTTATTTTTCATTTTTTTTATGAGTACTGTTTGATACATATGATTGTGCTGAAATGTACGCGGCGTCTCCACCGTATTTTCATGATACTCAGTGCTTCACATAGGTAGTTTTAATTACATGATATATTTTTACATGAATTATGGTAAAATACATATTTGATAATTTTTTCTGGGTTTCATTCAGTATTAATATTTCTTATTGTTTATTATTATTAACGTCGCTATAGCTTTCATTTATTTAAATTATTTTTATTTTATATGCTTCAATAGTTCTACATTATCTTATATTCTTCACATACTATTTATATCCTATTCTATTGAATGTTGTACATGTTCTATGTCCGCTACAATATTAGATATTTAATTGCATACTTTAGAACATTGTTATTTCAAATTTTCGTAGGAAGTCTCCTACTGGATGGCGAATGTTTGCCTTATGATAAATAGCAACTTTTAATTTTTCAATAAATTCAATATTTTGTCAAAATCCGAGAAAACCGTGATAACGTTTGATAACGATACTTAACGTTTAGAAAACTTCGGCATTGTTGATACAAGTATTATGCAATATATTCACTGTATACAATTTTCAATTCCATAGTCAATATATTGAGTTCACGTTACACATCACGAAGTAAGCTTATTCTTTCGTGATGACAGATTTCCGAATAATATTATATAGTATCATTTCAATGTAAGCCTTTATACACAAGATCGTATTTTCTGAAATATGAATTTTGTATGGCATTGCGGCGCTTATTCTATATGGGGATAGAATGCCAGCTTATTGTTTGTATACTTTCGCATATCTGACTCTTCATGGAGAAGCTCATATGCGGATTTTTGTCAGACATCTATATTATTTCTGGCATATTCTTAGATCTTTATGAAATAAATAATTGCCAATTTATTTTACGTAGATAATATATATATATATATATATATATATATATATATATATAACTATTTTTATATCTAATTCAAGTTCAATTACATTTGTCTGACAACGATTCGAATTTGAATTTGTATCTTTTACTTAATAGATAAAATCATTTTTATTTAATCTAACTAATTTTGAATAAAACAGATAAGACAGTGTTTTTATAATAAGAATTTCATACAACATCGCATAATGTTTGTAAGAAAAGAAAAACAAAATAATTTTTTGAAATTTGTTTGATTTTACCTGCAATAAAAATATAACACTAACTTTTCAATCAAAAAACGGCAATCTTGATTTTGTAAAACGAACAACCATCTCTGTTTAATCAATTGATTGTTATTGCTCATATACTTTTGCTTTATTATTATTTTGTACTAATTTGTAATAATTTTGATTGAATTCATTTTTCTTTTCAGGAATATTATAGAACTCGCTATAGAAACTTCAAGAGGATAATGTCAATTCCATATAATAACAAAATTATGAATATCAATAGAAGTAGCAAGAGAAAAACTTTACCATAAAGCAGATAATCTGAATAATATCAATGAAAATAAGTTAAATAAGAGATGATATTGCAGGTATACTGTGAAATATCAAACCGGATAATTGAGATTTAATATTATATTTAATCTCTTCCTTTATGTGATCGTTATCCAAGGAATATCAAAATGAAATTACCACATTACCATAATCGGCTGGTGTGTATAAATAACAAGTATGGTTAACCGTAAATGAACTAATGTCAGCTGCAATTGCCTTCCAATTTTAAAACTATCTTTCGAAATAATAGTTGTGCATTCGTGCATTTATTTTCGCTATTTTTAATGCTTATTTATGAAACATTTAGTATTTTATGTGTGGTGTAGTGTAGTGTAGTGTAGTGTAGTTTTTTTTTTGTGTAGTGTAGTTTAGTGAATAGCACATAAAGTTGCAGCTAAAATTTCTTATGGAAAATACGATGTTAGGTATATTAACTATGTTTAAATAAAACTTGATAATCAAATTAATTTATTCTAAGTATTTTACTGTTACAGATGATTTGATTTGAAAACGAGTCGATATTTGCAGCAATTGGTAAGTAATCAATTTTAAAGCATGCTTTTTAATGGTTAGTTTTTCATAACAATCGTCCGGGCTATTTCTTTGTAATTAATTGTAGAAAAAAATTAAATGATTTTGTTGAAACTTGTATGGAGATAGAATTCATGGGCTTAACGAATAACGTAGGCCTATGAAAAGTAAAATGAATATAAAAATTTTCAAAATTTGTAAAAGTACATAAACAGAACTTAATTAACGAAGAAAGAATTAGACGCCTTTGTTTCACATTTCTGTGAATTAAAAACATGCATAAAAATATGAGTAAGGCTGTTCAATTTAAACTTTTGAGGTTTGTCAATAGAGGCAAATGTTTTTATTTTTAAGTTGGTAGTACTTTTATTGACATCTGAGTCAAATTTCACGTCAATTGGTGTAATAGTTATGCTTCTGTAGTTATGTTTTCTGCAAACAAAAAAAACTTTGTTTCTTCTATGATTCGATTACGATGTCTGAAAGTATTCAACAAAGAAGTAACATTAGATTTTGTGCTCGAAATGAAATATCAGCAGCCGAAACGTTGTGAATGAATTGCAGAAGGCCTTTGGTGAGAAGTCGATGTCAAAAACAAGTATTTTTAATTGGCACAATTTTTTTCAAATAACCACATCAAATCAGGCCAAGAACATCTACTGATCAACTACACTACGATAATGCAACACACTGCACTAGTTCTTTGTGACGATTTCGCCAAAAATTTAACCAAAATCGTTCAGAAACCACAGTATTCTTCTAATTTAGAATTGCTCGACTTCTGGCTATTTTCTAAAATCAAAAGAAATTGCGTGAACAACGTTTTGACTCGATTGAAGACATAAAAGTCGAATCGAAGAAGGAACTAATGGCCATTCAGGAAGATGAGTATAAAAACATTTTGAAAATTGGAAAAAGCGTTGGCATAGTTGCATTTCATCCGATAAGGATTATTTTGTAAAGAATAAATTAGATTTAGAAAAATGGATAAAGATTTCAAAAGATTTAAATGAAATCTTACTAATATTTGTATGCTGCAATACAAACTAATTTGCTGAGTTAAAATTATTTATTTCAAGTATATAAGTGAGCTTTAGAATTAAAATTAAAATCCGTATCATTTTTGATATTAAAAAAAAATATTTTTGAAAATTAAAAAAAATTTGCTTCCTCGAAATAGCAGTCGTTTTTTCACTCTGTCAATTCGATCAAAATGTTTTTGAACTTCCCGTAGGGTAAGTTATAGTAATCGCAAAAAATCTAAAATGAAAATCTTTATATATCTTTACGTTTTAAAGGTTTCTGAATGTTTTGGCATACATTAAAAAAAAGGGATGTATGTGTGTGTGTGTGCGGATACAAATTTTTGTCGACGATTTCTGGAACACGGATCAACCGATTTGAATAATTCAAAAAACATTTGGTTTGTATTGATAAGGAGACGTGCTGATTAGTTTTTGGTGAAGGCAGGTCTAGTCGTTCCGAAGATACGGGGCCAAAAATGCCAAAAACAATAACTCAGTTTATAAGAGAACGGGGCGTCGATTTTAATGATTCAGAAAACATTTCACTTCTATTGAAAAGATGAAGAACTGATTAAGTTTTTGAGAAGGCAGGTCCAGCGGTTATGGACTCTCAATAAAAATAATTTAAGAAAATGTCATTTGGCGGTCAAAAATGTTTATTGGACATATGTGCACCAAATTATCAGATATTTTATAGAGATTTTAATAATGTGTACACATTTTGAGTAATTTTTTTTGAGTTACGTACCAAGATTTTTAATGGCGATACGAGAAGTTCCTGCATTTTGCATTAAGGCACGATGCCATGCACCCCACTAGTTGAATTATTCGAATCGGATGCCCCGTTGTCTCGAAAACTGTAATTTTAGCACTTTTTGATCTGTATCTCCCAAAAAGATAGACCTGCCTTTGGCAAAAACTAATCAGCACGTCTTGCCGTCAATGCGTTTTGAAAAATTGAAATCGGTTGATTCGTGCGCCCGAAGTCGTGGACGAAATACACACGCACACGCCACACATAATTTCATTTTATCTAAGGTATGCCAAAATGTCCAGAAAACTTTGAAACGTAAAGATATGAAAGGCAGGTCCAGCGGTTATGGACTCTCAATAAAAATAATTCAAGGAAACGTCATTGGGCGGTCAAAAAGGTTTATTGGATATATGTGCACCAGATATTTTATAGAGATTTTAATAATGTGTACACATTTTGAGTAATTTTTTTTCGGTTTCGTACCAAGATTTGCCGTTTGCTCCGTTTTCCTAAAAAATGGAGTTTGTAGCACTTTTTGCTCTGTATCTCCCAAACAGATAGACCTGTCTTTGCCAGAAACTTATCAGCACATCTCCCTATCAATAGGAATCTAATGCTTAAGATGATTATTACTGATACTGAATCATTCAAATCGGTTGACCCATACGCCCGAAATTGTTGACAAAAAATGTATCTAAACAAAACACATACTACACATCAAAAATGCCAAACGTATGCCAAAATGATCAGAACGTAAAAATGTGCAACAATATTAATTTTCGATTTTAGACGATTACTATGTCAAATTACCACTTGGGGTTATAGATCACAATATAATTCCAAGTGGAAATCGTCCTTCGTAGGCATAGTTGCATCATTCAATCATATGTAAACTATTAGACGTAAGAGCTAATATATAAAACCCCACACATAGGAGAATGGTGAACCTCTCATAACAATACCTTAGGTCATAAGCCATACACAAAAACAGCTTATAGAACATTAAAGTAAGAGTTCTGATTGCTGTAGAAACAATAAAAAAAATAAAAAAAGACGTTTACTATAACTTACTCCACGGGAAGTTAAGAAGCAAAGTAGACAAACCTATATCAAAAACAGCTTAAATAATAAATTCGAAGAATTATAATTCTATATTGTTTCTATAACATAGTGGTGTAGATAGAAGTGTTCATAAAAACGAGGATAAAAGTTTCGGTTGCAGTTATCTTTCGGTCCTGCCGAGATTCGTCTGCGGGTCGGAGCGTCCGCCGCCGTTCGTGGCTCGGCGTCGAGCAATTCCGATGATGCATCGACGTCGACTTGGCTGGCAAGTGGGAAGCGTTTACCCGTCCACTCGCCGCGAAACCCCGAGGCTTCGTCTGTGTACGTGCTTCAGACGCGAATTTACTATTGCGAGTGTGGATGTTCTCTGTTCTGTGTAACATCGAGTTAGGAATAGGCGATGACTCTGTGCATTTGGGGGGTTCTAGTGAATTCACTTTGAGGGATTAATTATTTTGAACGTGGCACATATGTTAGTTTAGTTGAGCAAAACAAGTTATGAACACAAGGTGTAAGTGGCATTTTCGATATATGGAGATAATCGAGTTTATAAGCAGTAATTGAGATTTTGATATTAAGTTATGATTCTTGACGAAATTCCAAGAAATTTAATTCGGCTATTAATTTCGAGAAATTGAATCGAGAAATGTCTGATTGTCAACTAATATTTTTCAAACAGACTTCAAATTTATTAATGTATTTTGTAATATGATTATCTGATAAAATACTAATACAAAAATGTATAAGGTAGGGCGGTCCAAAGGTCAAATTTGATTTTCAGTAAGGGGCCGTTCAAGTATTACATAAGCACTATAGGGGGGCGGGGGGTTGTTGATTTGCTCATTTTGGGTCGACATGGGGGGCAGGGGAGTCTAGATGATGATTACGTCATAGGTAGTATTTTTATTTTTTTACATTAATTGCAAAATGTTTACGTAAGCATGGGGGTAGGGGGTAAGAACTTTGCTTACTTTTGCTGACTAGGGGGATGGGGGGTAAGTAATTGTAATGAATCTGCTTACGTAATACTTGAACGATCCCTAATTATATCACAACAAATAACACGTTCCAAACAAACAATTATCTGACTATATTCAGTAAAACTCCCAGCTACTTCTTTCATCATTGCAGATAATTTTTTTTTCTGTTTCTTTAAAAATCTAGTACCTGTCCTTTTTACCCCATAAAGGCGGGATAAATTGGGTCGACCATGAAGCACACAGGTCCAATGTCTTAATTTAATGAGGATTTACAAAATAATAGCTACATTATTCAACCAATGCAAAATATAAATTTTATGGATGCATTTTTTATAGAGATTACTATGTAAACAACCTTGATCTTGTATTTTGTTGGAAATATTCATCAGCAGAGTTGGAAGAACGGTGTATTGAATTTATCTGTTGTTAATTTTTTTTAACTTAATTTACATTTTATATAATAATTTATATTTTTTGCACCTTTGGCAGAGTAAATGTTCAGTTGGTTTTTATAACCCCACTGTAAGCTTTTATAGAGGTTATATAAAAAAAACTGTTGACTCTAACTTAAACCATATGTTGAATAAAAAGCTATCAAATGATATTGAAGCGCTTAAGGGAATATTCTAGTCTATAATTTTTAAAGCCTGACTGTTCAAGAATACAATCAGATTTTTCAAAATTTTAGGTATTTTCAGAGTTATACCACGATAATCCCTTCTTTGGTTACTTCCTCCATGAATCTTTGAACGCTTTTTTGTGAAAAAGAAAATGAAAATCAAAATTCAGTTTTTGAGAGAACGATTATAATAATTCAAAAAACATTTTATTTTTTATTCTGTCTATAGTAGATTAAATTTTTACGAAGACAGGTCCAGCGGTATTGGAGATACGGAAAATAGTTTTTGAGAGAACAGAGCATCCGATTAAAGTTATTCAAAAATCATATTGCTTGTGTCGAAGGTGTTTGTTCATTTTGTTTTCATTCTTTTAGATTAGATAAACAAAGATAAAGGTCGTCGCCCAAATATAAGCACTTATATTATATTAGACTTATAAAATAAGATAATAAAATTTACAGTATTTTTGATAATTGTTCTATAGATAAATTATAGATTAATTTTTATTGACGATGGATTATTTTTTCGCAAATGATTATTATTAATTACGGTACGAAAAGTT